CCCAAAGCAGAATTCTCTGGTGTGATCACTTAACTTGATTGCAAAACTTGTCTCCAAATGCAATTTTGCTATTTCCCAAAATCAAATTCATCGCGTAAAGGTCAGGGATTTTCCTGGCAGTGGATGTTCAAAAGAACACGCCACAAAGTCTTCAGGCATTTTCCTTGGGGAGTTAAAAAAATGTACTCTGCCATTCAGAAGCATCATTATAATAAGAGTGTGGTTCCCCAAGGGACTTCTTGAAAAGGCACCATATTTCCTTCAAAGGTATAATTTCTTTTTTATTTTAAATGTTAAAAATCAGAAACATCACTTTATAGTCACATCCTATATTCTTTCATTGAATGGCAAAGGGGAGGGAGGGAAGTGTGGACAAGTCCCTATAAAAACAAATCAAAGAAGATGCCTTGTGCTTTTTCATTGTTTGGCGATAGTGACATCTGTGACCCCCTACAGCTTTCAGAGACATGCATAAGTAGCAGTAGGCGTGTGACCTACTCCTGAAGTCCTAACCTCCAGTGTGAGGGTATTTCCAGATGGGTCCTTTGGGAGGTAATCAGAACTGGGTTAGGTCATGAGAGTGGGGCCCTCCCCAGGGGCCAAACTGGCCATCATCTTCGTTGTGGATTTGCCAACCTCCAGAACTGTGAGAAATAATACCTGTTGTTTATGCCATCCAGTCTTTGGTATTTTGTTATGGCAGCTGTAGCTGACAAAGACGGTAGGCTCAGAAGCCTTTTAAAATGACACAGACAAAATCAGGACCTTTTAATGATTAGGAAGGAGAATGGAATTCTTCCCTGTGTGAACGTCTTTTCAGAACCTGTGCCTGAAGCAGCTCAGACGGGGCAGCCCATCCAGCAGCAGAGATGGGATATGTCCTTTGTCAAGACGTGCACTCAAATGCCCTAGGAACTTGGAAATAAAGGGGGAAAATGGTGTCTTCTGAGAATGAAGCTATAATAAAGTGTGTTATAAGAGAAATGTGGGAGAAAAACTGTGAGATGGTAATTAAATGCACTACAGAGGAGTTTAGGAACAACCAAATAACCCATCAAGGAAACCTTGAGTAACCTCCATGAGACAGGTTGAAAGTAATTGTAATTCTCTATATGAAAACCTAATCAAACATATATGCCCTCCACACATTTTAATTGTTTGAAAAGGAAGGAAATGGTCAACCCTTAATGCAGTAAAGGAAAGGAAGTCTCTAGGGCCAAAATAAATCAGGATAATCCAACTTTGTAATTATTTCATTCATAGTGGAGGCTCTGAACCCAGAGTTTATTGACACTAACTTTCAAGCCATCCAAATCCATCCTGAAATTTCATTCACTCATTTATTAATTGGATAAATATATATTGAACAAATATGATGCATTCATAACATGAACCCCACTCCTCATGCTTAGTGTTATGATGTATGTAATAGTGTGTGTACATTTGTCTTTTCTAAAAGTTCTACACCTTTAATCAGGTTTTCAAATGACAAGAACTCACAGATCAATGAGCAATTTAGCTCACTCTGTTTGATCATTATGATCCAGAAAACATCTGCCCCTTTATTATTTGTGAAAGATTTTTTTTTCTGTCATAATAGTTAGCTTGCAAAAATATACAAGACAGGAGAAATCCTGTGATCCTGATTTTGAGGGAAGGTAAAGAGATGTGAGAGTCTAAGAACAAAGTGCTTGGAGAATTAGATTTTTTAAATATGTCTCCTAATGAAATGCCCAATGATTAGCACTTTGCAGTTTCTTAGAAGTGCCGTTGTTTTCATAGAAGTAGAGAGCAAAAGAATAATAGTGACTAGAGGATGTGAAGATGAAGTCATGTTTATTCTAATCCAGAAGTATTAATAATTTTCTAAATTTTTTTTTTTTTGAGACAGAGTTTTGCCCTTGTTGCTCAGGCTGGAGTGAAATGGCAGGATCTCAGCTCACTGCAACCTCTGCCTCCCTTGTTCAAGCAATTCTCTTGCCTCAGCCTCCCAATTAGCTGCGATTACAGGCATGTGCCACCACGCCCAGCTAATTTTTGTATTTTTAGTAGAGACGGGGTTTCTCCATGTTGGTCAGGCTGATCTCAAACTCCCAACCTCAGGTGATCTGCCTGCCTCGGCCTCCCAAAGTGCTGGAATTACAGGTGTGAGCCACTGAACCCAGCCAATATTTTTATTTTTAACAAAGATTTTATAGCACAGAGCAGCTCTTTGGCAAACATAATAGCCTAATTTCACACAGAAACACTGGTAAGACTTAATGGATCCCCAAAATTATTTATCACATTTTCTAAATTACAAACCAACTAGAAAACAAAAAGTGTGGAGAAGTGTTTAAAAGACAGAATGGGGAGACCATTCGGTAGCAAATGTTGAGAAATGAATGCAATTCTCAGGTGGATTCCTTAATAAAATATAACTCAGGTAATTGGATGTGATTTCTTTGCTTGTTTGTTTTTGAGCTGGGAAAATCAACAGCTCAAAAATCAAAATTTCTCTCTTCCTATCCTGCGTGCAGTTCTTAGTTCTGAGCAGTATTGCCTGGTGGAAACATTTTGGCAGCTACTGTACACTGTATGTTTAACCAGGTTTTTAATCATCCCAGACAGGGGGGACATTTTATTTCAAACTAGGAGCAGGTTATGAAATGGGAGGCTCATTAGGAACAAAAACAGATAAGATCCAATTAAACTAACTGTTCCCTGGCAAACCCCCAGTGTCTTGGAGGGCAAGTTTGTTTAACTAAGGTTTAGAGAATAAACAAGTGTGATTCAGGTATCATTATGGAAAAGAAAGTGGAAGGATGGCTCTCAATTGGTTTCTTAGTCAGATTACTTCTCATTTACTGTCAATTGGGACTGTTCAAAATCAGGACTTCCCTTTGGTGCCATTGTTTCCTTCTGAGATAATTACTGAGGAGTGTTGAGGGCACCATTAAATTCAGATCTCACCATTAGACCTTAGAGCCTGGTTGCCTAATGATTACATTTCTTCTATTTGCTTTGCTTTTAGAATGACTTTCTCTAAGTAAAAAGACGGCTACCAGAGGCTGGGAAAGGAAGTTGGTGGATGGAGGCATGGAGTAGAGATGGTTTAACGGGTACAAAAAAAGCCTGGAAAGAATGAATAAGGTCTAGTATTTGAAAGCATAACAAGGTGATAATAGTCTATCTAAATATCCCATATACTCCATAAATATATACATCTACCATGTAAACACAAAAATTTTTAAAATGACTTTCTCTAAACCCTGGAACATGAAAACTGCCAGTCCTGAGTTCAATCCTTGCCAGTTACTTGTCTTTTTTTTTTGATGACTTATTTCTGTACAGGTTCTGTCATATACAGTGTCTCAAGCCTTCAGGAAAACTCAGTTTCCCTTCCAATTCTCCTAGAAATAGTGACTTTTTTTCTTTCTTTTTCTTTTCTTTTTTTTTTTTTTTTTTTTTTTTTGAGAAGGAGTTTTGCTCTTGTCACCCAGGCTGGATTGTAATAGCATGATCTCGGCTCACAACAACCTCCACCTCCTGGGTTCAAATGATTTTCCTGCCTCAGCCTCCTGAGTAGCTGGGATTATGGGTATATACCACCATGACTGGCTAATTTTATATTTTTAGTAGAGACACGGTTTTTCCATGTTGGTCAGGCTGGTCTCCAACTCCTGACCTCAGGTGATCCACCCACCTCAGCCTCCCAAAGTGCTAGGATTACAGGCATGAGCCACTATGAGAAATAGTGACTTTTAACATTGGATGCCTATTATATTCACCTGAAGATCTTTAGAAACCATCGATGAGCAAACCTTGTTCACAGACCTGCTGATTTGAATTATTCAAGGGTGTTTTTTTAAGTTTTACATTTGTGTCCGCATTATTTTAACTTCTACTGGTGATTCTAAGAACCACTGACTCAAACAGTGTTTCTTCTACCTTATTCAGCAAGAGACCTTGGGAAGTCAGCCAGGCACTGCCAGGAGATACACTTGACGTATTTTCAGTGATATTTGTCCTCAAGAACCAAGAGAAGAATTTGTTGTGAGACCTTGCCAAGCTAAATTATTTCCAGGTGCTACATATTGTTCAGAATATCTCCTGTCATGCCTCATTCTGAATCCCAAGTTAGGTCCACCATGACAATACAACTGCCAATGCCATCCTTCATCAGACGTCCATGGTGCGTCACATGACACAGACATATCTCCCAAACACGGCATGCACTTGCCCATCCCCTGCCCCAGGTCCTGAGCAAAATCCTATTTTTTCAAGACCAGCTTAACTCCAATCCTTGCCCCTGAAACACTCGTTCTACCAACAGCAAATCTCCATTCTTTCATGCATCTGTAGAATCTTGAACACATCTCCATCACAGCTTTTGATGTATAACAACATCATATATAATTTGACTTTTTTTTGAGGAAAATATATCTATTTTCCTCAGTAGATTATGGTCCCTTAAAAAGAGACACTTGGGGGGGACCAAGATGGCCAAAAGGGAGCTTCTCCAGAGTGCAGCTCCCACCGAATGAGATACAGAACAAGAGTGATACCCACGTCTCCAAGCGAGGTACTGGATTCATTCCAAAGGGACTGGTTGGACTGTGGGATTAACCCAAAAAAAGGCAGCAAAAGCAGCCCAAAGAGGGTGAGCCAAGGAAAGGCGGGGCACTGCCCCACCTGGGAAGTGTATCTGTCACGGAGGATGGGGGGAGGTGGCATCACCTCCTCAGTAATCTGAATCAGATACAATGCTTCACTCCAAGACTTTGGCAGCATGCAGGCAAGGAAAATGCTGAAAGCCACCCCAAGTTGCAGACCTGGGCAGCAGCCCAGACCAGCAGCCCCGGCCAGATCTTGCCTTGTCAGTGCAGACCAGGGCAGAGACTTGGTCTAACACTGAAAGGGTTTCCAAGAAGGAACTGCCCATCCCACAGAAGGGAGAGTTGAAAGCAGGGAGGGGGATATGGCCAGACAGGTCCCACCTCCAAAAGATCCAGCAACCAGAATCCCTCTCCTGGGAGAGTTTTGCAGTTAACCCATCAGATGGAGCTTCATCTGGGAGAAGCAGGCTGGCAGAGGGAAAGAGGCCAGCCATTGGGAAGGTGGGGCAAATCCCACTGGCGTAAGTAGAAATCAAGCAAAGAATAAACAGCAGCATGGCTGAGAATAAGGCAGCCCAGCAGCACCTTCACAGACAGACAATGGACAGACTATCTCAAGTGGCACACTGACACCTGCATTAAAAAAAAAAAAAGTCTCATACAGGAGAAATAACCTCACCTCTAACAGAAAGGATGTCCACTCAGAGAACCCATCTGAAATCACCAACTTCAAAGATCAAGGATAGATAAATCCACGAAAATGGGAAGAAACCAGTGAAAAAGGATGAAAACATCAAAGTCCAGAACACCTCTCCTCCTCAGAGAGATCAAAATGACTCACCAGCAAGGCAACAAAACAGGTCAGAGAATGATTTTGATGAGCTGACAGAAGCAGGCTTTGGATGATGGGTAATAACAAACTTCTTTGAGCTAAAGCAACATGTTCTAATACAATGCAAAGAAACTAAGAATGTTGAAAAAGGTTAGATGAAACTCTAACTAGAATAACCAGCCTAGAGAAAAACATAAATGACTTGATGGAGCTGAAAAACACAGCACAAGAACTTCATAAGCATACGTAAGTTTCAATAGCCAAATCGACTAAGCAGAAGAAAGGGTATCAGAGATTGAAGATCAACTCATCAAAATAAAAAGAGAAGGCAAGAAAAGAGAAAAAGGAGTGAAAAGAAATGAACAAAGCCTCCAAGAAATATGGGATTATGTGAAAACACCTAATCTACGCTTGATCAGTGTACCTGAAGAGGACGGGGAAAATGAATCCAAGCTGGAAAACACTCTTCAGGATATTATCCAGGAGAACTTCCCCAACCTAGCAAAGCAGGCCAACATTCAAATACAGAAATTACGAAAAACACGGCAGAGACACTTCTCAAGAAGAGCAACCCCAAGCCATATAATCGTCAGATTCACTAAGGTTGAAATGAAGGAAAAAATGCTAAGTTCAGCCAGAGAGAAAGGTCAGCTCACCCACAAAGGAAAGCCCATCAGACTCACAGCAGATCTCTCGGCAGAAACTCTACAAGCCAGAAGAAAGTTGGGGGCAATATTCAACACCCTTAAAGAAAAGAATGTTCAACCCAGAATCTCATATCCAGCCAAACTAAGCTTCATATGTGAAGGAGAAATAAAATCCTTTATGGACAAGCAATTACTGAGAGATTTCATCGCCACCAGACCTGCCTTACAAAAGCTCCTGAAGGAAGTACTAAACACAGAAAAAAAATTCAGTACCAGCCACTGCAAAAATGAACCAAATGGTAAAGACCAATGAGGCAATGAGGAAACAGCATTGACAAACAGGCAAAACAACCAACCAGTAACAAAATGGCAGGATCAAACTGGCATATAACAATATTAGCGATAAATGTAAATGGCCTAAATGCCCCAATCAAAAGACAAAGAATGGCAAACTGGGTAAAAAGTCAAGACCCATCAGTGTGCTGTATTCAGGAGACCCACCTCACATGCAAAGACACACATAGACTCAAAGGGATGGAAGAAGATCTACCAAGCAAATGGAGAGCAAAAAAAGCAGGAGTTTCACTTCTAGTCTCTGATAAAATGGACTTTAAACCAACAAAGATCAAGAGAGACAAACAAGGGCATTACAAAATGGTGAAAGGATTAATATAACAAGAAGAACTAACTATCCTAAATATACATGCACCCAATACATGAGCACCCAGATACATAAAGCAAGTTCTTAATGACCTACAAAGAGACTTAGACTCCTGCACTATAATAGTGGGAGACTTTAACACTCCACTGTCAATATTAGACAGATCAATGAGACAGAAAATCAACAAGGATATCCAGGACTTGAATGCAGAACTGGAACAAGTGGACCTAATAGACATCTACAGAACTCTCCTCCCCAAAACCACAGAATATACAATCTTCTTAGCAACACATCAAACTTACTATAAAATTGACCACATAAATGGAAGTAAATCACTCCTCAGCAAATACAAAAGAACTGGAATCATAACAAACAGTCTCTTGGACCACAGTGCAATCAAAGTAGATCTCAGTGTTAAGAAACTAACTCAAAACCTCACAACTTCATGGAAACTGAACAACTGGCTCCTGAATGTCAACTGGATAACAATGAAATGAGGCAGAAATGAAGATATTCTTTGAAACCAATAAGAACGAAGACACAACATACCAGAATCTCTGGGACACATTTAAAGCAGTGTCTGGAGGGAAATTTATAGTAATAAATGCCCACATGAGAAGCAAGGAAAGATCTAAAATTAACACCCTATCATCAAAATTGAAGCAGCTAGAGGAGCAAGATTAAAAAAAAAAAAAAAAAAAAAAAAAAACTCAAAAACTAGCAGAAGACAAGAAAATAATTAAGATCAGAACAGAACTGAAGGACACAGAGACACAAAAATCTCTTCAAGAAAATCAATAAATCCAGGAGCTGTTTATTTTTTTTGAAAAGATCAATAAAATAGACAGACATTAGCCAGATTAATAAAAACAAAAAGTGAGAAGAATCAAATAAATGCAATAAAATGATAAAGGGACTATCACCACTGATCCCACAGAAATGCAAACTACCATCAGTGACTACTACAAACAACTCTATGCACATAAACCAGTAAACCTGGAAGAAATGGATAAATTCCTGGACACTTGCACCCTCCTAAGACTAAACCAGGAAGTTGAAATGCTGAATAGACCAATATCAAGGGCTAAAGTTGAGGAAGCAATTAATATAATAGCCTACCAACCAAAAACAGTCCAGGTCCAGATGGGTTCACAGCTGAATTCTACCAGACATACAAAGACAAACCGTTACTATTCCTTCTGAAACTATTCCAAACAATACAAAAAGAGGGAGTCCTCCCCAACTCATTTTATGAGACCAACATCATCCTAATACCAAAACCCAGCAGAGACTCAGCGATAAAAGAAAACTTCAGGCCAGTCTCCATGATGAACATAGATGAAAACTCTTCAATAAAATACTGGCAAACTGATTGCAACAGCACATCAAAAAGCTTATCCATCACGATCAAGTAGGCTTCATCCCAGGGACACAAGGCTTGTTCAACATACGCAAGTCCTTAAATGTAATCCACCACATAAATAGAACCAAAGACAAAAACCACATGATTATCTCAAGAGATGTAAAGAAGGCCTTTGACAAAATTCAACAGCCTTTTATGCTAAAAACTCTCAATAAACTAGGTATAAATGGAACATATCAAAAAATAATAACAGCTATTTATGACAAACCCACTGCCAATATCATCCTGAATGGGCAAGAACTGGAGGCGTTCTCTTTCAAATCTGGCACTAGACAAGGATGCCCTCTCTCACCACTCCTATTCAATATAGTATTGGATGTTTTCACCAGAGCAATCAGGCAAGAAAAAGAAAGGGTATTCAATTAGGAAAGGAGAAAGTCAAATTGTCTCTATTTGCAGATGACATGATTATATATTTAGAAGACAGCATCATCTCAGCCCAAATTCTTTTTAAGCTGATAAGCAACTTCAACAAAGCCTCAGAATACAAAATTAATGTGCAGAAATCACAAGCATTTCTATACACCAATAAGCCAAATCAAGAGCAAACTCCCATTCACAATTGCTACAAGGAGAATAAAATACCTAGGAAAAAACTAACAAATGAGGTAAAGAACCTTGTCAAGGAGAACTACAAACCACTGCTCAAGGAAACAAGAGAAGACACAAACAGATTGAAAAACATTCCATGCTCATGGTTAGGAAGAATCAATATCGTGAAAATAGCCATACTGCCAAAAGTAATTTATAGATTCAACGCTATCCCCATCAAACTACCAATGACCTTCACAGAACTGGAAAAAAAACACTTTAAACTTCATGTGGAACCGAAAAAGAGCTCACATAACCAATAAAATCCTAAGCAAAAACAACAAAGCTGGCAGCATCACGCTGCCGGACTTCAAGTTATACCACAAGGCAACAGTAATCAAAACAGCATGGTCCTGGTACCAAAACAGAGACATAGACCAATGGAACAGAACAGAGGCCTCCAGAGCAACACCACACATCTACTTCAACAAACCATCTAATCTTCAACAAACCTGACAAAAGCAAGCAATGGGGAAAGGATCCTATGTTTAATAAATATTATTGGGAAAATTGGCTAGCAATGTACAGAAAGCCGAAACTAGACCCCTTCATGACACCTTACATTAAAATCAACACCAGATGGATTAAAGACTTAAACATAAGACCTAACACCATAAAAACCCTGGAAGAAAACCTAGGCAAAACCATCCAGGACATAGGAATAGGCAAGGACTTCATTACTAAAACACCAAAAGCAATGGCAACAAAAGCCAAAATAGACAAATGAGATCTAATTAAACTTCAAAGCTTCTGCACAGCAAATGAAACAATCGTTAGAGTGAACCGGCAACCGACAGAATGGGAAAAAATTTCTGCAATCTACTCATCTGACAAAGGGCTAATATCTAGAATCTATAAAGAACTAAAACAGTACAAGAAAAAAACAAACCCCTCCAAAAGTTGGCAAAGGATACGAACAAACACTTTTCAAAAGAAGACATATATGAAGCCAACAAACATGAAAACATGCTCATCATCACTGGTCATTAGAGAAATGCAAATCAAAACCACATTGAGATACCACCTCACGCCACTTAGAATGGCGATCATTAAAAAATCTGAAGACAACAGATGCTGGAGAGCATGTGGAGAAATAGGAACACTTTTACATTGTTGGTGGGAGTGTAAATTAGTTCAACCATTGTGGAAGAGAATGTGTTGATTCCTCAAGGACCTAGAAATAGAAATTCCATTTGACCCAGCAATCCCATTACTGAGTGTATACTCAAAGGACTAAAAATCGTTCTGTTATAAAGACACATGCACACGCATGTTCATCACGGCACTGTTTACAATAGTAAAGACCTGGAACCAACCCAAATGCCCATCAATGATAGACTGGACAAAGAAAATGTGGCACATATACGCCATGGAATAAAAAAGCTATAAAAAAGATGAGTTCGTGTCCTTTGTAGGGACATGGATGAACCTGGAAACCATGATTCTCAGCAAACTGACACAAGAACAGAAAATCAAACACTGCATGTTCTCACTCATAGGTGGGTGTTGAACAATGAGAACACATGGACAGAGAGCAGCACCACACACTGGGGTCCATTGTGGGGGCTAGGGGAGGGATAATGTGGAGAGAAATGTCATGTACCGGTGATGGGGTGATAGAGGCAGCAAATCACCTTTCCATGAATGTACCTATGCAACAATGTGGCATGATCTGCACATGTACCCCAGAATCTAAAGTACAAGAAAAAAGAGAGAGAGAGAGAGAGAGAAACAGACATCTAGAGCTGACAATGAGGATTGTCAGTGTCTGATGTATAGTTGGTCAAGAGCAAGTTTCTTTCTATCTTACAGCTTATGCAGGTCCTCTTTTTTTACGTGGTATGTGCTGTTGTCAAATTTTACAAGAATGGAAAGAAATTCAATCGTTACCTCTTGGAAGAGGCCAGCAAGAAGCAACTCCTCAATATGTCTCTATTACCTTACCCTGTTTTATTTCCTTTGTAGAATTTATGGAGCATCTAAATTTCTCTTATTTACTTGTTTATTCTTTAGTGACCATTTCCTCTTCGGCATGCAAGTTTTTTAAGGGCAGGTGCTGTCTTATCTACTGCTGTGCATCAGGACCCAGCATGGTGGCTGCATCTACATAGCAAAGATTTGCTCTTCACCAGCTTTCAAATTAGATAGACTTGAGTTCAAATTCTGGCTCTACTAATTCCAGTTTTTGTATCTTGTTGAGATACACAGTCTCTCTATGCCTCAGTCACTTCCATTTTAAGGTTCTCTATTGCTCTCCTATTGATATAAACACTTTTAAGGGCATGAGGTGGGAAGCATAAACATTATTTTTAATGAGAAGGTCAACCAAAATTTGCATACAAATTTCAGAAAATGCTAATGTCAGGGGAAAGAGTATGTTTTAGAATAAAAATAATTGGATAATAGTCCCCTGATAGAGATGCTGCTGTGATTAAATAAGAAGGTATTTGAGACACCTGACTGAGGGCCTGTCCTTCCTCCTTCACTATAACCAAAGTCACTCAGCATTCAAACTATGTAAGCATTCTGGATGTGAGACCTCTAAAATGCTATCATTCTATTTTCAGATAAAGTTGTGTCAAACAATATTTATGATGAAATACATCAAACTTGTCCTACTGTTCAGCATAATTTGGGTTCCCATTTGGTCTGAGTTCTCAGACAGGTCATATATTTAAAAAAATGATAGATACTGTGTTTTAAGAAAGTTCACTTAATAAATGTAAAATATAAATTACCTCAGTCATCTGTATATTTATTAGAACTGAAGCAATTAAAGCCTTCTATGATTAGGTTCTTTGGTACTTATTCAGAAAACACTTCAGTAAGTGGTAAAAAGTGAGAACACCCCAATTATTACTTGTTAGTTTTATCTGCATTATACCAGAATGTAAATTCCAAAGATTATATTCTCCTGATTATTTGAGAAGCAGGTAACTGGCTTACCAAAGCAGAGGAAGCACATGGCTCGCTCTGCCTGTGTACTGAGCCATTCCATGTGACCAGATAGATGTCAGAGGAAACTCATGGCTTTCCAGACATCTGATCTGAAGCTAACATTATAATCTGGGAATCTTTGTTTTTTTGTTAGTTTGTTTTGTTTTGTTTTGGTATGTCTGGCTGTCATGTAAGAATTAATTCCCATAATAGTACTATATTTAATACAAAAAGGTATATACTTTTGTTATTCACATGAGTTTAAATTTTTCTAAGCCAAAGCTAAATAAAACCTTCTTAACCCCTCCAGATTCAGAAATGTTCCATCACTTGTCTCCTCTCTCTCTCCATTCACACCTTCCTCTCTGCTTGCTCTTCAGTGTGTTTGTCTGTTCATGCTTATACCACTCTGTTCCTATACCCTGTCCTCTCCATTTTAACATTTTTTAATCCCACAAAACAGAAACACATGTGTTTTCAATCAACATCTCCATGTGATTGTGTTTCCATCCTTACTAGTCTTCTGGACTAGTGACATCCAAATTGTAAAAATGAAGTCACTTTTAACTTCCATGGGACTCTATGCATTTGAAGCTGATTATAATTCATTAAGTATGAAAAAGAAAATTATTTTTGGCTTTCCCACTCTTTTTCCAACATCTTTGTTCATTCGCATAGTAATTATTTTAGGCACCTCCCCTTCTGTAACATTCTCCAGGATTCTGACCTTGAGTGTGCTACTCTTTTGGCTTGGGGAGTCTCACATATTGCAATGGTGTGGACCATCAGTTCTGTGTGGACTGTCTCTCCAGGATATCTTGACAGTGATGTTGGAGGAATACAGTGAACCCAATACTAATTTTACTATTTCCACTTGGTCCAGTGTATTCATCTCCCGATCTCATCACCATTCATCGGTTTTCCAAGTTAGAAATTTGGGATTTGCCTGTATACACTCTCGTTTCTCATTTAATGGAGCACTGAGTCATGGTCATTTTACCTCTCAAAAAAAGTCTTTTGAGTCTTCCTCCTTTACATCATTGCTTGTAAAATTGACATTGTATAGACTTTACCACCTGCTGCCTGGAATATTATAAGTCCAACTCACCTCACTGTTTTAGTCTTAGATGCTGCATTTTCCTGCTTTCCTTGCCTCTTAAATCCATACTATAGCCAAAGCAAGCTAAGATACAAATCTATTCATGCCATTCTCTTGCATAAATTCTTTCGTAACTCCTTACGAACATCAAATGCCTTAGGATGACATATTCAGTCCTTTGTAACCTCGATACTCCATACCTCTCCAGCCTCATTTCCAACTGCTTCCTGATTTGTACTTATTCATTTCTTAGTAACACAGAATTTCTAATAGATCACCAAACACATCACTTGATTTCAGAACCCCATACCTTTGCTTTAGGCTCTTGCCTCTAGCATCTTAACTGTATTTCTGGCTTGTCATTTAAGAATCTGCACTACCACCCTTCTTTATAGTCTTCCTCTAAAGATGGAATTTTGAATTTGTGTCCGCTCTTGAAAAAACAATATCCAGTTTCATTTGATAAGATAACGTTGGCAATAACATCAACTCATGTGGGTGGGAAGATACATTCTGATCATATTTCTGCCACTAACCAGCTCTGTGACCTTGGACAAATTGCTAGACTTCTCTACTTCTAAATTTCCTTTTGCCTATGATAACCTCTGTAAGCTAGAGTCTTTCCAAAGTTCTCTCCATTTTCTATTTTTTGGGTCTCTTCACCAGGGAAAAAATATCTCTGAGTTGTCAATAAATCAGTAGCTAAGTACAACTGAAAGCAAGCCTTGTTGTTTATTGATCACTCGTAGGTAAAGTGGCTTTTATATGAAATCAATACATGTATTAAATATATTCAAAGTCATTGCTTTGCATACTCAAAGGGATCACACTGTTCACAGAAATGAGGTCTGCTGGCCCCCACCTTGTGCATTGTAGTGTTTTGTTTCATTTTTTTCTTCCTTTCATTAATGAAAGTTACCAATTCTGGGAAGATAGACTTTGGTAGAAAGGAAGAAGCAGATTTTGAAATCAGACCTGGATTCAAATTTTGCCTCTGTAATTTACTTTCTTTGTGACCTTCAGGAAGTGACATGAGCTCTTTATGTTTTCTCATTACTAAAGTGGAGATGTTACTACTAGGGGATATCAGTAGATCAAACATGTCCAACTTGGGAAATGGTACACGAACACAGGAGGCACTCCCTCCATGTTGTTATTGTCACCATTACACTAGCTAGAAGAAATAAGAGCAGTCAGAAAATGATACCCAAATCTTTCATTATGTGAGGGATGTTTATACCAGTGTCAGGTAACCATGATATGCTCTGATAGTAGGTTATGATGCAATCCAGGATTAAATTGGGTCAATTTTTTTTTCTGTTTTTTTTTTTGAGACAGAGTGTCTGTCACTCAGGCTGGAGTGCAGTGGCATGATCTCGGCTCACTGCCACCTCTGCCTCCTGGGTTCAAGCGATTCTCCTGACCCGGCTTCCTGAGTAGCTGGGATTACAGGCATGCACCACCACTCCTGGCTAATTTTTGTATTTTTAGTACAGGCGGGGTTTCACCATATTGGTCAGGCTGGTCTCAAACTCCTGACCTCATGATCCACGCACCTCGGCCTCCCTAAGTGCTGGAATTACAGGTGTGAACCACTGCACCCTTCATTTTATAGATAAGAAACCTGAAAGCCATAGAGGTTAAATGACCTATCTCAAAATAATTCTTTATCAATTGATGTTCTGGTGACTTGAATCTCGTTGTTCTGTGTTCAAGTGGAATTCCTTCCCTTTAGTTTATGCTTCCCAAACTTGAGCTTACATTGCAATCATCCAGAGTATTTGTAAAACAGATTGCTGCACCCACCCCAAAGATTCTGATTCAGTAGGTCTGGGGTGGGCCTGAGAATTTGCATTTTTAACACTCTTGCACATATTGCTGATGCCATACTTCGAATAGCATAGCTGCAGACAGCCCTGTTCTGAATTGGCCAGGAAGAGTTCTCAGCTTTCTTAAACACCTCAGTCTTGGAAAGTAGCAAAGAAAGATGAGGCCATATGTCTTGATTATGCCCTACCAGATTTTGCATGGGATTCAGCACTGCCAATGAATGGAGTACGAGTGTTTCTCCTCTTCCTGTCTTTTCTGCTTTTTCTCTTAGACAAAAGGTGTTAAGTTTCAGCAAAACATACTCTGAAGCTTATTTTATAAAAATTACAGTTTGTTTTGGTTGATGTGCTTATAGTCGTATTCAAAGCTTTCAGAATGCACATGGAAAACTGCAGTGCCTGAGATGAGAAATTGGTTCTGGGCTCATCATTTACTTTGTGCAATGAAAAACCATGCTGCTTTTGTACTTCAATGGTGGGAAAAAATAAAGCAGGGCTAAATGCTATCTGGAAAGATGAAACACAGAATGAGTTTGAGTAATTGAACAGTGCTGCCTATATATCTCCTCTGAGAAGAGGGAAACAGATTATATCCCCAAAGTTCATTTGTTAAGTCTGCAGTTTAGAGCTCTCAGCTCACATTTCCATAGAAACAATCTTGCTCTTTCAACTGTATTATACGTTACAAAGGGTTTTAATGAACTTACCTGGAAACAAAATTATTATTCCTAAAGTTATTTTTGAAGAAAAATGCCTTCTACTTTGTGGTGAGAAGGAAAGAGAGGGTCCAAGAACAAATATACATCATTTCATGGAGAAAGAGGATCTGAGAGCACTCAGATTAGATTCAATCCCAGCACCAACAAATTGTGAGCAAAAAGGAAAGCACTTTAAACTTCTCACAATTTCCTTATCTGCGAAGTGCAGATAATATACAACTAACGAGTCTTTGTGACAATTAAGTGGGTAATATATGTGAGGTCTCTCCTACCGCATCTTTAACAGAGTAGGCACTCAATAAATTACTCTTGTCATTGCTTAAGGAGAGTGCATTCTCTGGTTTCACTTTCTTCATTTTCATCCCTTTTTTCATCCACTGAACTAAGTCAGTTCCACCCAGGAAACAGGAGGAGGTAGGCCACTTCAAATCCCACCTTCCTCAGTTATGCAGCAATTCAGCTCCACCCAGGTCAAATCCAAAATGAGCTGAAATCCATCTCGTCACCCAAACAAACATTAAGAGCTTTCCATTTCAGGACCCACCTGCCTTGAAGGGCAGGTTTAAGGGGTTTTGTTGTCATTCAAACTTTTTTGGAACTTGAGTTACTTATTACATTTGCAGTTTCTTCATGAGCAATTTATGAAGCAATTTCATAGTGTTTTTTCCCAAGGGGAAATTGAACTTTTTTTCTCTATTA